CAAAAAGATGTCTCAGATGAATTGTCATCACCGGGCGTTGTCACACTATTCCTAGGCCTGTCTGGCGTATTCCATGTTTGTTTTAGTCTGATGACAGTTGTTCTCTTCTCTGACGGTGTGGTTAGTTCTCTCTCTCTCTCTCTCTCTCTCTCTCTCTCTCTCTCTCTCAGCTCTCTCTCTCTCTCTCTCTCTCTCTCGCTCTCTCTCTCTCTCTCTCTCTCTCTCTCTCTCTCTCTCTCTCTCTCTCTCTCTCTCTCTCTCTCTCTCTCTCTCTCTCCTCTCTCTCTCTCTCTCTCTGCCTCTCTCTCTCTCTCTCTCTCTCTCTCTCTCTCTCTCTCTCTCTCTCCTCTCTCTCTCTCTCCCTCTCTCTCCTCCTCTCCTCCTCTCTCTCTCCTCTCTCTCCTCTCTCTCCTCCCCCTCTCCTCCCTCCCTCTCTCTCTCTCTCTCTCTCTCTCTCACGATCCTTTCTTATATACAAAGAAATACATTTGCTGTTGTGACTTTTATTGACGGTTTCGTAAAACGAATAGTTTCAGCGTGACTTTAACAACGTTAGGCTGGGCCGTCGTCTTGTGGGAAGCCATTAAACGTGACGCCACTAATGATGTCGGTATGCCGACATTCAATTGTTACTGGTTGTACATACCATATAACATATGTACAACATAGGTACAATAGTCGGCTATATATGGTCCACAAGTTCCTAATGACAGGTGTAATATCACAGGTGAATATCGTTGACAATATTGTAGAGAGCAAAGTTATATATACACGTCCGTCTGGAACTAGTATATATAGAGAATCAATACAACAGTAATTAACATTTATATAGCATATAACATAAACTTCATGACAACCCAACTCTATATCCTGACTACGTCCATGTCTGACCACTCTTTAGGTACTTTGATGATAATTGTATCAGGGAATCTGCTACACAGATGTGATGTCGAATTCCTGATGAGGCATTTCCTTCACAAACAATGCCCAATCCCGGCAACTCTCCTGTGTTCAAATTCAAGGAACTGCTAGGAACTGATCAATCGAGCAGTCATCTAGGTTTGTTTGATGTCTCATATCCTGTGTTGATGCGAAAGGCGCCAGCTTAAATTGTGTTCACCTTTGGACAGATCTGCCTTGATTTAGCCAGTCATTTCACTACACCCTGTTTCCCAGCGTTTAGGCAACAGTTGCTTCTCGTATTAATTATAATTTCTATTTGCCATTCAGATTATCCCCGACGCACGTTTGGCGTGCCAATGCCAATCCCGCTTTATCAAGTATTAATCGCCGATCACGTTGTCATATAATTGTGGGGGTTTTCTGTAGGAAGTATTTTTGTCTGTTTATGTACCTCATAGGGTCTACTGAAATTATTCGTACTGCCTGTTGAAGGTATCTCTTAATAGTAGCTATTCGCCATCATGAATTGTGTCCCTTAACCGTGTTCGGATCCGATCAGGGCGAGCATGCATCCTAGGATGGCATTGACATTACGATTGAGATTCAGGGAAGGGCATACTTGATTACTGTTTTGGTTGATTCATACCTTTAAGTTAATACAGGGCATTGAGTCCCTGCACGTACTTGTAATTACTTACGTGTTTAGGCTTGAGGACTGGGGTGATATACCGCGTCGTATCGAGATGTGAATGGCTGTTGATACTGATCACCGGATTGTCTGACCGTATGTCTGATATTTGATTGTATAAAGGGCACGATCGATCATGTATATGACACTCACGCCAATGTGTATCTCACCACAGACAACTGTTTTCAGCATAGTAACGTTTGCAATACCTTTATCAAATCCAAGTAAAACAAGACATGAATTAGAAATGTATTTGAATATAATTAATAATCCTTAAATTCAGTAATTGTCTTGAAAAACTCAACTACGGATAAGAATGGAGATCGGCAGATGCCGCAAGCAAGGGAGAGAGTTTGTCTCCTGTCAAATGATATAAAGAGGATGAGTACCATTTCACCCTTGTGTGTCATAATTAACTCTTCATCAGGAACTGGTATATGCCATCAACATTCCGTGACAATTCTTCTGTAAATCAATCAATATGATCATGTTCACTCACAAGTGACGAAATTTTACAGAATATTGCAATGTAATGTCTAAACGTCCACACAACTAAGTGAGTGGGTGAGTTTGGTTTTACGCCGCACTCAGCAGTATACCAGCTATATGGGGGACCATACAACTAAGAAGAACTGTAACAGAACAGCGTTGTCTCCCGTTCTGTAACAGTGAAATACGGGGGTGACAAGACTTTATGGATGATCAACTTCTCTATTTTGATCATCCATAAAGTCGTGTCATCTCTATACCACCAAGTTCTAGAATGCCACTCAAACAAATCAATGAAATACTGACCTACACACCTTTGTGATTATATACAGCCGATTAAAAACAATCTCTATATTGTCATTATAAAAATGGACCCTTTGATCAGCAGGGATCAAGGGCTGTATATCTTGTCTGCCTATGAAGATCTAATCAGGCAACAGAACCTTTTTGAGTTAATATCCAATCAGCTTTATCACAATCCTCTAATGCTTATCCTTGCTCAACAGCTGGCTGTGTGTTGTTCTGTGATGTGGTTATTCTTACCTTACCTGACTTTATCAAATTACTTGCTTGCTACTAGTTACGTATTATCTGTTGTCGTTAATGTTAAGGGGCGCTTGGGTAGCCTTTTGGTTAAAGTGTTCGCTCGTCACGTCGAAGACCCGGGTTTGATTCCCGATATGGGTACAATACGTGAAGCCCATTTCTGTTGCCCCCGCCCTGATATTCCGGGAATATTGCTAAAAGCGGCGTAAAATTAAACTGACTCACTCACCGTTCACGTGGCACTGCTGCTAATCATAATATATGATGCATATAGACCTCTGGTCACTTGTTTGCCGTCATTCCAGCTGCAGCATGATAACGTAGGATAGTGATGGAAACTTTGCTATATGCAACATAATACATTGTTTACAAGCACAAAGTTGAACTATTCCCTATATACTCTCCGACATCTACAATGCTTAACGGTTATATCGTTGTTACCAATTGTACCGTATTCCTGTTAACATTAGAGATACAAGGTATTTGGCTCAGGATCTGAGTATCTGGGGCAGCTTCTGTGAAGCGACTCCAATCCATGTCAGTCCAAGAGACACTATCGACATTGTTTGGTTTGCTATTTCCCTCACGGCAAAGTCTCATATCGTTCATCCTCAGTGATCAGTGAATGCGTTTGATACAACGCCGTTTCCTATAATTCGAACTCATGATAGCCATATCCTGGCACAGGAAGGGACACAACTCTTACGTTGAACGACATACTAGAGTGTGTGCAACACCTACACAAAACCAACACCCTGACATATTGTTCCCAATAAATATTTAATCAAACACTGATGTCCATTCGGTCAAATCTCTATCGGTATGTATGTCAATACTAAATATTGTAAGTGACGTTTACGCAGAACTTACAATCGCAGCCACAGGGAGATAACTGTGCCACTTCCATCACTTAGAAATGTCAGGAAAAGCCATGTTTCGTCTTAAGTGTGATGACTAGACAATATGGTGCCATGGCTTCAGGATGCTGATGCTCCGTTTGAGCTAATCGGATATTCTTGCTGTGTGCTGTGGCTTATCCATACCAACATCACCTCATCAAAACAGCGTCCTACCCACAACAGTAGATCTGTGAGGTGATGAATCGGACATGTGACATGAATTCCTCATGACCTGAAGAATTTTAACAGACAAAGATAATTCTACCCCACCTGACGCGTTTTTAGAAAGGAGATATATTAAGGTAACCCAAGCTATTGGTATTTCATGTGACCATACCTAATACTATTTTGTATGTAATGCATCTCTCTCAATGTATTTCACAAAGTGCATTGTTCGTACACCATAAACCATCAATATGCACCATATGTGAGGTGAGGTGAAATTGGGTTTAACGTCGTGCTTGAGAATATTTCACTCATATGACGACGTGCATGCGTGTGTATGTGTATGTGAGGCTGCTTGTACTAGCCCAGACTGAAGCTGGTTTTATAGTGCTAGCCCATTGAGATACCACGCCGCAGTGAAGCATGAATACCCCACTCAGACACATTATACTGACTCCGAGCCGACCAGTCCTTGTTGTACCCATTAATGCCGAGCGCCAGGCAGGGACCAACAAGTACCATATTTTAACGTCTTTTGGTATGACGCGGTCGGGGATCGAACCCGCGACCTTCCGCTCTCCGGGCGGACGCTCTAACCACTACACCACGGAGGCGGTCTGCACCATATGTAATAAATGTACATCTATATCACACCATATACCGTTACAACGAATTAATCTAACGTGCATACTTTCCATCTGTCTCGCTTCATTAGGATGGCTAGCAAACCGTAAACGTGCCAAGAGTTATGGCCCTTAGGTAGCAATCAGCAATGCCAACTGGGTAAGCTCAGTCCCAGTTGATATGAATACAGTTTCGAGATAGTTTCTTCTTATCTTTGTATCCGTATGGTCGGCATTTCCAATAGGACAAATGTATATTTTTGTATTCATCAGCGGGATATATTAAATTTGTACTTTATGTGTCTGTCCAGTGTTGTATATGAAATGTGCACATTATCTATCAGCGGCGTGTATTTAATGAATGTTGAGCTGTCTCTAAGGCACATGGACAGTAACGAAACAATAACCAGTTCACATCGTCCACATGAAATATCATTTTCATACTCTCCCATTGTCATTGTAATACATAAGTTCGTAAAATACAAGATATTATTAAATTTGAACTTTCAGCATTTACATCACCACTTGCAGAGTATTTTATTCATGCATGCACCTCCGTGGTCCAGTTGGTGTCAATTGCAATTCGGGCCAAAGACCGGATCCGGATCCCGATAAATGAGCCATTATTTCCCAATCAAAAGTTCACCTACATCATACAGACCTCTAATATATAATTCTTTTCTACAGCGTTTGATGTCCTAGAGGTACACGAAAAGGAGGATGAAAGATGCAATTTTGAGGGTGTGTTCATGTGCCACGACATAGAGACGCCCTGCATAAACCGGACACTCGTGTGTAATGGGATCAGCGAGTGCCCCGATGGGAGAGACGAGAGTCCATTGGAGTGCGGTAGGTATTGTGTTGATGTTTGAGTATTACGCATGAGTGGTGTTGTGTGTTGGCTATAACGTTGCTATAAAGAGTACTCCAGCTATACTGTGAGAGCAAAGCCTGACCAGGTACAGAGTTCGTGTTGAAAAGGCTGTAAACACAAGCGGGGTTAAGCGGGATTCGAACGCACTAGCCATAGGTCTCCGGCATGCTCAAGGGACGTAACTCGGTACAGCCAATTACGGCGCCATATAATGCAGGATGTGTCTACGAGTGTTTTCACTGCTTCTATCTGTCTGCAAAATGTGAGCAACTTCATGCTGGGGCACACCAGGAAGAGCGATTTTGCCCATGTGAGACGCGTGACGACCAAACGTTCTGCCCATGAAATTACATCTCTTGTCAAGGCGAAGTGTCTCATAAAAATACATGTAAACAATAACTGCACCTATAAGACAAAATATTATGGATGTCAACTTGTTCTTTATTGTATACACAACGTTTCTGGGCTATTCCCTGCCTCTTCGCCAGGTGAATACTAACAGTTGTACAGGATATATATACTAGTAATGTACATGAAGCCAGAGTCATTTTAAGCATGTATATATATAATAAATAGCGGATTATTGGGCTATTCCTTGCTCCTGACGAATATTTTGTCTTATACTTGAATACCAACTTCTATATGCCTCTCAAGAACCAAATAACTGCACTGTTAAAATGTGTTGAGATCCTAGATAGAATATATTTGGAAAAGAGACACTATTTGTTCCGTAGAAACGTACACTACTTCTAACAACAGACTCGTCCAGATCAAGCACCATCCACTCTTTTATATGACAAGTACGGAAACACATGTATACGCTTTGAAAACCAAATTAACGGATTACAATGGTAAGTTACATATCATTTATTCTGATTAAAGCAAAACAAAAGGAATACTCTGAGAGGAATAGACAAAAGACTGAATACTGATAATGACTGAAATTATGGCCAAGTGACTGACTGACTGAGCGTGGTGTTACGCTGTTTTCAGCAATATTCCAGCAATATCTCGGCAGAAATTGGCTTCACACAGTGTATCCATGTGGGGAATCGAACCCGGGTCTTCGGCGTGACGAGCGAACGCTTTAACCACAAGGCCACCCCACCGCTCCATGGCCAAGTGAAGATGCGTGTGATCTACATATATGTACCAGCATGTGGCTTGTGATCGACACGCCACTGTGACCATAGGTTCAGCTTGGATACACCTCACTGTCTTCATATCAACGTTTCAAACCGTTAAAAACCAAGGCCACTTCACATAAAGCGATACTAGGGTTAAGACCACCATTGTTTGTCATTGACTTGCCACGGTAGTGGGGATCACCTTATCTAATGGTCCCCGCCCAGGGAGAAGAAGGTTAGTCATTTGATTCTCTGGCATCGTCATATCAGGAGATGCTGATATATCATAGACATGTTTTGCCAGTGCTAGTTTTACAAAGATGGTTAATGGGGTTTGTTGTTCACTTTTTTTCTGTAAAACTTTATTTCCGAAGCAGTTTAAACATAGTCCGAAGACTGGTTGTATTGTGATGCTTCCTATTCTCAATCCAGTGACGTATGAGTGCCCGAGCACCCATTTCAAGTGTAACAACGATTTCTGCATTCCGAAAGATAAAATGTGCAACTTCATCGACGATTGCCAGGACAACTCGGACGAGATCAACTGCAGTGAGTATAGATTTCCTTATGCAATGCGGTTTCGTGGCTTTTTAAAACCTTATTTGGTATTAATTTATAGTTACGTTACACTTCTTTTTGAATGATTGATACTACTCAAAATTAAATCTGTCCATGATTGATCCATGGTCGACTATTGACCATTTGCAGAAACCAATTGAAGTTTTGGGTACGTGGTACACGGAATTTTGCCAGTACAATAAGTCATGGGGGCTCAAACAACTGATTTATGGATCAAGACAATTGTTGGGTGTAGCAGGTATCATAGTCACGGTAACGAAACAATTATGAAATTCTTCAATCCATGAACCTGGATTATAGCATAAATACATTGTAGTTATTCACCTATTGCATGAATATTTATCAATAAACGACTTCCTGTTGTTACAGTTAAATCATTCACAAAGTGATCTTATTGTCAACCCCGCTGGAATGGTCATAGGGAATAGGTCCCAAGAGCATGTGTTTTGAAGATCCAACTGAAAAGGGGATCGGGTGTCCAGGCTTTGTTTTTGTTGATTGTATGTCATTATACCCCAACCATTTGGAAGCTGGTCATGCTGTGAAATAATGGCTTGCCTGGCCGGACCCAACTGTTTACAAGCATGTATATGTTGTTGAATGCTGTGCCATATAAGTGTCCACTCGTGCATTGTATCTTTTCTACCAGACCGGCGAAGTTGCTACCAGACTGAGTTCAGATGCAACAACTCCGAGTGTATCCCTGCTGCATATCTGTGCGATAAGCAAAAGGATTGTTTGGATGGATCTGATGAAGACTTTCAAAGCTGTCGTGAGTTACACCTCTTATTCTTAATGATTCAATGAACGGGTTAGTTTTAATACTCTATTAACCGTACTTCAGCCGCTGGCGTGTCAGTATGACTGGTCAAGTGTTGGTCTTAGACGTTATCCACTTTAAGAAACCTCCGACCATGCTCAGCCATCAACAAAGTTAACAAATCTGAAACTCGAACCCACGATCGTAGGATACTTGTTCCTAACAGACTACCTTAAACGCCTATGGGTTATATATATGTTGTCCGATGTTTCTGTTTAATGTATCAGACCCATGATTGTGGGGTTCATGTAACGGATGTATGTTTCCAGTTCATCACGTGCGCTGTGACATCGGTCTATATGTGTCAAGTGAGCAAGTATGTGACGGATGGGTAGACTGCTTCGGGTCACAGAAAGACGAAGCTGACTGTAAGTGTACTTATAGCTTGTCTATTCCATCTGTTATATCACTCTCGTGTTATATGGTGGTTGTATTAGCATTAATACAATACTGTTATCATAATTTAACTCTTGGTTAATGTGTTACGCACACATGACTTTCCCGTGAAGTCTTCTAGAAGTGACATCTATGATATCAAAACAGAGTGAGATTCCAACATTCCCGTTTGTAAATGATAAGTGATGTAATTTGATTGTTACGATGTCGTCACACTTGTCACTGTTATGCGTTTCATTGCATTTGAAACCAACCAAATTGGTATCTCCTTGTGATAAATAACCGATACCTCCATTTACCAGGTGGACCGTGTTCCCCCCAACAATATCGCTGCAACAACAATCGATGCATACGCGAGGCCAACGTCTGCGACGGCCATTGTGACTGCTTCACATGTGAAGACGAGCTTAACTGCGGTACGTCCTGAAAGTGATGGAACGGTTATTAAGGGAACGATTGACTGAATTGTTTCATGCACCGATCTATACGTATCACGCCGAGGTGACCTTTTTATGGCTTTGTGCACTTGCATGTGGATTCGCATCTTTGCATCAGACAGTGTACATCGGCCGTACAAAGCAACGCCGGCGATTGCTGCCCTGTGTACGACTTCTCAATAGGATCATGACGCCCTTTTGGTTATACTTCGACCTTTATCTCTGATTTTATTCCCATATCAGAAGTGATCTATCTCCAGCAGAAACACCATTACAAGAAGCGATCTTTTATTCCCTGGGGGTTAATGGTGCCCAGTTGTCTAAGGTGCCACAATTGGCATGAGAAGAATTACGTCAAGTCGATGTGCACGGATCCGATGCTCATCTGATTAATAGCCATGCTTTTTCACCCTGGTACCTTTGTTCGTTGGTTTAATCGCGCTATGTGTCTTGCCAAATCACAGCAGCTATAGGGCCCTCACTCACTGCATTTCTGAGATTGCCAAATGTCATTGAGTCGGTTAGTATGTTGAAGAAGACACGTGAGAAGATTCATTGAAATACCATCTGAAAGATGCTCCTAAAATCGTAACTGTTAAAGAGGACAGGCAATAGCAAAATGAGCAAGTAGAAACTGATTCCGCTGAAACGTTAAATTTGGACTTATTTTCTCTCTCACGAGCGGGTTTAAATGAATTGCCAAGGACAAGGATATGTACAGTTGGCGTTTAATTTGAATAATTAAGCAATTTTTTCACCACAGTGTAAAATTGCTGTCAAAGTAATTTTAGTGTTCAAAACCGTACGCTGCCTGTTTAGCTTGGTCAAGTGCACAGCCTTCCGGGATGTCTTACAGAGGCGATTTACTGGTCTGTTTAAAGCTATTGCTGTCTTGGAACATTCTGCATACATCACCTATTCTGTTTTCCTTATTCAGAATTTGCTTTGGGAATGGTTATTGTTCCACCTTAATTATAACTGTTACATTCTTCTTGTTTATTGCAGGCAGTATAGAATGTGTACGAGGAAGTGGCTTCCGATGCCGCAGAAATGATAAATGTATTGACAACAAGTACCTGTGTGATGGCGTGAATGACTGCCAGGACTACAATGTGGGCTCAGATGAAAACTATTGCTGTAAGTTCAAACTCCACATTTGACAAACCTGATCACTCAGATTAATTAGATCCCAGCTTCGCTTCTATCCATGTGTAGTCCAACGTGTTATGGAGCTATGATAGTCGGAAGTCGATGTTAATGTATGGCACTTACGACCATCTTAACACTAGGAGAGCTTCGAAAATCTAGGTCGTAGCGCTACGTCATTCGTAAGCCTATGATAAACTATAGAGTTACGACATGTCCTAACGTTACGAACGCTTTGTGGATATACTACAGGTATATCCAGGTATATATCGGTATATGCATGTTACGTTGAGTTCTAATGTGAACTGGATTTGTTTTTCTGCATTCAGCTCAGAACATCAGCGATGTGTGTGCAGAATTCCCCCGTTCCAGTCGGCATTTTGCATGTCCAGATGGTCAGTGCATACCAGCTAAAGGTCAATGTGACTACATCGCAGACTGTCTTCATGGGGAGGACGAGAGTGGATGTGGTATGTATACAGACACTGTTGTGGATATCATAATGGTCTTGGAACAGTAACGAGCTGTTACAAAGCGGATGGTTTTTCCAGTGTCACTGCTTTATACAAGAACATGGCACTGCCAGTGACCATTATGTCCATACATCCATATATCTTGTAGCGGATATTTGGCAAGTCCTTTTTTGGTTTATTCAGAAAGATATGATTATTGTGTCGAATTCCAGGGTTCTCCCTGAACGATTGTCAATGTTTGTCATAGGTTTCCCGAAGGATCAGTATCATTTCCGTCTTTTCTCCCAAACCAAGCTGACACCGTGATATACTGAAATAATGTTAGAAGAGGCGTTAAACCCAACTTATTATTTCTCAGTCGTGCCAGTTTTGTTTTGGTTGAATTGTTGGTGCACCTTGCTACCTAGTGTGCTGCTTGATATAGTGTTGGTAATTGGTTAAAATCTCATAATTGATGATTGGTTCATTACAACCGATCAATCATCGAAAATAATTGGTTAGCGTCATTTATGAAATGTGTTAATGCACAAAGAAATAAGGAAAAAAACATGTAGTTCTTTGGGGTTTTTTGGCTTAATTTCACATCTTTAAAGGATGACTAGTATGGAGGAACATAAATTTCTTAGAGTCTTTAAGATAAAGTCAATCATGACTTGGAATGAGCTTGTAGTGCTTATGAAATGTAACAGACAAAACCAACCTAGGGAAAAGTACTGTCAATGAAAACAAGTGTTCGATTGCTTGGTCGTTTAGTCACTGCGACCAATCTTCGATTATTTCAATTAATCGGACCACCACTAGCTTGATATGCATTGGCTATTATTTCTGAAACTGGCATTATCCATAACAAGAACAATTACTCGTAACATGATTGTCTTGATGTTTTCGTAATTGTGAATGAATAGGTGTTTTACCAGGAGAATTATAACATGTAGAGTTAATGGTTGTCGATTTATCCGGTGAGATACAAGAATGTTGGTATCATTGTTTTCAGTGATGTGTAAATGTGTAAATGTGTTTCGCATATGTAGAGAGTAAAATAGGAAACATATTTAAGATCGATGGTACTACAGTAAACTGCTTTTATAATTAACACGCTTATAACGAACTGACTGATATGACGAATATTTGATTGATCCTGTGTAGTTGCTGTATTTTAGTCAAAATGCGTATAACGAACTACAATTATAACGAACTAGAATTAAAGTTCGTTGAAATCCAAGTTTACAATAGTACCACCGCCTTCAGCTGCAATATGCTATAAACATAAGTGACATTAAGCAGAGGTGATTTACTACATGTTAAAGTCCCTTCACGATCTGTTATCAGATTTTAAGCAGTGCGCCGATGGCGATTTCCGGTGCAAGAACGAGCAATGCGTCCCAATGATGAACCGCTGTGATGGCGCCTTTGACTGTTGGGATCGTTCAGATGAAGTTGGATGCGGTATGAGTTCAAATAGTTTACTCAGGCAAACACAGCCGTTCATATACTGCTGTGAATACTGCGTAGATTCACATATACCCGACAAAAGAATAGTTATCACAATACGAACAAAATGACACCAACTGCATTTGAACATATAACTTATCATGACAACAGCCACATCTTAAATGATTCTATTTCAACTTGTTGGTATTTTATCACAATTACACTTGTCACTTAGAATCAATAATTATTTGAAATGTTATTAATATTTTTTACTTATAAAAGGTAACTACGAAGCGGGTCCTTGAAACACGAACTCATTTCACACCTTCAGAGATAAATGAGTTTTGAGTTCAGCGATGCTACAAAATCACAATATGACCTATTAGAATGTGATCACTATTACTATCGACATTTAGCATAATGCCAAAACATCAGTATTAATACTTCCAGACCTGTTGTCATGGATACAGAATAGTTATTAAGATTTTACCAGAAGCGGAAAGACTCATGTCAAGTCAATGTCATCATGAAAGTATGTCAGCACTTCTAGCAAAGAGTCACATTATGTCTCAGCTTGCTTGTGCAATATGAACTTCAGTATACTCAGACAAGTATTATGATTTCTGTGTGTCTAATCCCATGAAATACATTGAACTGTGACTTTATCATTTTTGAGAGGGCCGTGGGGTAGCCCAGTGGTGAAAGCGTTGGCTCGTCACGCAGAAGACCCTGGTTAGATTATTCACATGGGTACAATGTGTGAAGCCCATTTCTGGTGTCCCCCGCCGTGATATTGCTGGAATAAAGCACCAAGCGGCGTAAAACCCAACTCACTCACTCACTCATTATGTTGAAGAATGTATATAAATAGAATATAGAATCATTTAGTGAGACCTACTGAAGTTTACCAGCGAGAAGACATGTATGGATATTTGTATAACAATGCATCTATATGTCTTGTAGAGGTGTTTGCTTGTAAAGATGGCTACCGGAGGTGCACAGCTGGAATGTGTGTAGAGGCAAAGAAGTGGTGTGATCACGTCAAAGACTGTCCTGATCAATCGGATGAGATCAACTGCCGTACGTTCTGCCGTAGATCAATCTCTCAATTCATAAAGACTCTGTTATATGTAACCCGTGAAGGTCCGGGTTAGAATATTGACCTTCAGTAACCCATGCTTGTCGGAAGAGGCGACTAACGGGATCGGGTGGTAGCGTCGCTGACTTGGTTGACGCATGTCATTGGTTCCCAATTGCGCAGATCGATGCTCATGCTGTTGATCACTGGATTGTCTGTTCCAGAGTCGATTATTTACAGACCGCCGCCATATAGCTGGAATATTGCTGAGAGCGGCGTAAAACTAAACTCGATCACTCACTGTTATATGTAAGCCGAGAGGCAAGCACACATCTTTAATTGATATTCATTTCGTAATCTGCCGTATGAAAAGAAAATATATGCTAATGAGATGTGCCGCACGGCATACAGCTTCGGTGCAGCAATCATTAAGGTGAGAAACGTCCCTCATCTCGCTGTCTAGCGTGTCAGGATCCGCTTAGAGTGGGTTCAATTCAATATTCATCCGATTATGGTCCTTGGTTTGTCAACATTACAGGCTCTCTCTCGTTTCACGAAAGTGGTAAATGACGATCTGAAACAGTTCGGCCCACATGAGGATCCGTGAAGATCCGGGTTAGAATTGGTCTTCAGTAACCCATGCTTGTCGCAAGAGGCGACTAACGGGATCAGGTGGTAAGGCTCACTGACTTGGTTGACACTTGGTTGTCATCGTATCCCAATTGTGTCGATCGATGCTCATGTTGTTGATCACTCGATTGTCTGGTCCCTAATCGATTATTTACAGATCGCCACCACATGGCTGGAATATTGCTGAGTGCGGCGTAAAACAATAAACCAAACCGAACCGAACTTATATAGTTTTTAGGATTTGACACTACAAAGAGAAAGTTTCACAAATTTATACTAAGCCCATACGGCCAACTTTTAAAATGTACCAGTGATTTGGCCGCCAAATATATAACATGTCTAATAACTTAATATGTTATTCTGATTGCAGCATATAGAGAATGTCAGCCCGATGAGTTCAGATGTAACAACAAGCAGTGTATAAGCCGGGAGTTTGTGTGTGACTACTCTAAAGAAACTCGCCAATTTGGGTGCACTGATGACTCTCATCTACTCAACTGCAGTGAGTCTTAGATGCTTATCATCATCTTCATTCAGTCTATTAGGCCAATACCAGTGAGCCATAAAAGTGAACAACAGACAAATTTGTGCTTTTGCACCTGAGACTTTCCTTAGAACTGACATGGGTCAATGACTTGATCATGCTCGTTTTAGCACTTTTAGCGTTAAATCTGTTGTTGTTGTGACCTGTGAGGATCCGGGGTAGAATAGGTCTTCAGCAACCCGAGCTTGCCACAAAAAGCGACTATGCTTGTCGTAAGAGGCGACTAACGGGATCGGGTGGTCAGGCTCGCTGACTTGGTTGACACATGTCATCGGTTCCCAATTGCGCAGATCGATGCTCATGCTGTTGATCACTAGATTGTCTGGTCCAGACTCGATTATTTACAGATCGCCGCCATATAGCTGGAATATTGCTGAGTGCGGCGTAAAACTAAACTCACTCACTCACTATTCGGCCAAAGTACGATCCAGAGTAAATCATTGTTCATTGTCTTGTCCTGAAGCGTATCCGTACTTATAACAGATGGTGAACAGAATATGAATTTGTAGACCGGGTTTTACGGGCCCTTGTTTTACGGCAGCAGCGTAAAACAACATACAAACGGTGACACCAGAGCAGGGCATGCTGAATATCCTTTTGGCAAACACCTGGTGGCATCACCGATTATGGATGATCCGTATATTATCAAATGTTCTTTTTCAATTGGAATCTGCTTCGACAGATAAGCGAGACTGATGTTCTAGAGTTGACATTTCGTATTATTAAGTTAAACTACATATACCGACTACAAGAGAAGCATCACACCGATAGAGGTTTCTTAAAGCGCACACTATAATTCGCTCTAATTAACAATCAAAACGGAGACAGTTATAGTTCACACATTTTCGGGAATCACATTTGAAGTTCACATAAACAAAATCACCAAAAATGGTACCATTAGGATACCTCAAAGTCAAAATCGTGTGTGGCTTTCTTAAGAAAAAAAGCATTTTGCCGATAACGCCAATTTCGATGCTGAGTTGCCCACAACAGTCGGTTTTGGACAGGACCACGATATGATCTGTGACAGCAGACTCTGAGGTTTCTTCCGCGCAAAAGTATCGGCACTAATGGGTCTGTTATGAGTCCCAATGGTCTGGTGTGCTGTTTCTGTCGCTCTGGTTGCGCACAATCCGTCGGTCTTGACGTTGTGATGTTACTGAAGGTCGTCCACCGCGTGGATTTTAGATTCTGTTAGTGGTCTGATACCGATCCTGCAGTCGTTAGATTTCCTAACATGAACGTACATTAAAATTATTGGCTACCATCCGTGTAGTCTGGCCAATTTGTAATCGGCCCAAGGCTTGGTTCCTCTGATCTCTCGTAATTCGTGGCATGGCGATTGTCAAAACAAGAATGATTTCTGGCGAGTCTAGGACTCGCTTTGATAAGGGTTGTCACGATATGCACGTGCATTTTCATTTGGCATACAAAACTTTTTACTACGTACATCTATTTAGGTGCGTTTGCTCGATATGCTTTTTCATCAGAAAACACAATGATGTTGGTAATAACTGCCAATTTGGATTGAATATCATGTTAACAAAATGGTAAAATCATAATAAAAATAACACCTTCTAAGAACAAAATTTTGTATTTGGTTCTGAAAGGTGACGTTTCTTTTGCGGTTCAGTATGTATTACCTGCAGTGCTGTTTACAGCCGGAATCAGTATTAATGGTTACATGTTGAATTTTACCGTGACTACAACAAATATATTTGTTTAAGTTAAACGTGTCTGAATATGGAATTAGTTTCACATATTGAATAGAAACAAAGTGTGTGCTGCATAAATATTTTGATGAGCATATGCATGAATACATGTATCATTCTGCTCGTTGTTTTCCAGCAAACAAGATCTGTAAGCCAGGGCAGTTCAAGTGTAGGAACAGCTACTGCATATCCATTCTACAGAAGTGTGATGGCCACATAGACTGTGCGATGACCTACTGGGACGAACAGGGCTGTGGTGAGTCATAAATTGACATACCGTAATTATATTTAAGTAGCATACGATGAGAGTGGGGTGTTTTTCGGAATTTACCAGCCCAAAAAATATTTACTCTTATTTTAGTAATAGTTACTCTCTGAAAATTGGATCTAGGCCATAATGGACAAGATGATGTAATGAACAAGGGGGTTACGTTTGGTATTTTCAGACTATTGTCACAGACATTAAAACCATAAAAAAAGAGTATGCAGGATTGGTTCTCAAATTTACTTGCAACTACGTCGTAGTGGTCACAGTAATGTTCCCCCAAATAGTCTGTGCTTCAGTACTTCAATTTCTGAACTGTGGTTTCATTGTGCATCAAATGTTGTATCTTTCAAGAATTCCCTTGCCCATACCAGGACGATAGATGTAAATGTCTACACGAGTCAATGGATTGCAGTAACCGCAGTTTGCACTCCTTACCAATCATACAGGATACAGCTCTCTCCAAGTTGTAGGTAAAACAGTGAGATACTGTAATATTTTTTCACATTTTATATCTGTATAGTGTGTGTGGTCATCATGCTTGCTTGATGTCAAAAATGAACAGATTGATACTTTGCTGATCTCTTTCGCTTGGAAAATGTTAAGCACAATCTCCTAGAAATTATATGTATCTTATGTCAACTGTCAATGCCTAAGACGCCACTTATATCCTTTGTACAAGAACTGTATTTCTCCAGATAACCACGTAAGCAAGGTCATTTCATTTGACCTTTGAGGCAAATTAATGAGTAGCCAAATAACAATTGACTTGGAATAATTGTCAAATAGGTCAATCTATCATCATTTTCGACATTTGTCTAACGATATGAGTGTGTCAATTTAAAAGTAAAAATCCAAACAAATTAAAGTGTTGCGTAAGCAGGTTAATATAGCATTCACTATGTTACAAAAATGATTATTAATATTATGTTCTGACAATGTGGAAGGCGGTGCTCAACATTTGTTCATGTCCATAACATTAGTACAGTGTTTGTGTCAGTGGATATGAACTTAGTATGTAGCATTTAGTATGGTGAGTGACCTTAAGTCTCGGAACGTCCTGCTGGGTTTTTTTGTATTTGTTTTTGTGTTTTGTTTTTTTCTTGTGTTTAATTTTTGTCAAAGCCTTTTAGCAAATACGATGTACGACATCGGTTTCTTTGATAAAGGTTATGTCTTTTGAAACGCAATTCATGCACATTTTATTGCATAGTTTCTATCTCAAGATCGGAAATAACGTTTTCATTCGCTTCCGTGATCTTGTAACTGCTGATGTGAACGGAATGTGTGTACGGCAACGGTGCCTTGTTTCACACTGAAGCAGATGCTATGACAGATGCTATACTGACAGCTGAATGACGTTTGAATGACAGCAGGAAATAGCATGCTTGGTTGTAGTTGAAATCAGGTACATGGTAAGGATACATCTGACGTTAAAATTCATTGAACTAACTTCAATGATAATTATTGTATCCCAAGCGGAAAAAGATAGTATAACAGTTGCATTGTAATCTTTGTGTGTGGTGTGAAAAGGAGGGTGTACACCTTCAAACGTCAGGTCCTGAGATGGTCTTTAGGTAATGTCTTTGAGTGACATCTAGAAGATGATGTGATGAACAATGTGTATAGCTCATCAGCACTTGTTTGATGACGGTGTTAGCATCAACGTCAATACATCGCATATCACCCTAGTTAATGATCCCTTAACATGAAGTTCTTGAAAGACATGTACAATTTGGACGAACATGAATACATGATACGTTTTATGGACGACAACTCCTTTTTATTCTGCATTCACCTGCAATACTTAGCTCTGAAACGTCGAGATAGAATATATTTAAGACGTTGGTATCCACAAACCGAGTCATGTATACAGGTCCTGTGACATGTGTGTACCTTGTGCGTTGTCGTAGTTCATCCTCGCTGTCGCCTTTCTCGTTTAACCCCTCCAGAAGTTCTAAAACAATTTTATACTTACAAATGATTAAGATTATTCATATGCATTGGGACTGCTTTCACATAAATAACATAATAAAATCAGAAAAGTACCAGTTTACGTTGTTACGAAACAACTAATTATCCAGAAACAGCTCTAGTTAACTTTTCTTGTTTTGTGACAGGTGCCACGCTGTTTCGGAGATAAACGTTCGGAGTTGTTTTGTTTTTCATTTCATTTCATAATATTACACATACGTCGCTGAGATGGCTTGTCCGTTAAATTAAAATTTACGTAAACTACGCATTAAAGACTCTTTTGTGGTAGTATAAGTGAAAATCTATGACATTTTTCTTTTACAAAGATATTCATAATGTGTATATAACATGTGTGATCTATTTAATGTTTATTATGGTTTCAGCGATCTTTCAAATAACCAAATAAATATCACAAGTGATACCTTTGCGGACCTTGATCGTCTTACGTACCTGTGAGTATAAATAAATGTCTGATGCTTTCGAGACGATCAGTCAAATCAGAGAAAACATTTTCTTTCAGGTGTAACATGTATACTATCCCAAAAAAGAAACGCATAGGCATTTTGTATTTTTAAAATCTATTAAGTACCTATTGTGTTCAAACAATCGTCAAAATATGTAACAAAAGTGTTGATAATATGAATTTACACAACTGTACAAGTCAAAAATCGACTTTACCTGAAAATGTTGATTTTGATGAGATTTCTTACAAGGATTAAAAAGGCATCGCCACAACGCAACAGAAAAAACCTTCCAGTTGAAATTGTGCACTGTCTGTCTATAAAACTCCAGATTACTTCCGGAAATCGACATTCGTTTTGAAGAAGTTTCAAGGTCAAATCACTACGCCACGTCTTGACGCTGCGACACGGAACATCGCCATTGATAGAATGCACGCCGGAGATTATCAACCTTCTGTTGCCAGGCGTCTGAATATTAGTCTGAACACGATATCACGGCTTGCAGCTCGTTACAACCAAACAGGTATAACAAATGACCGTCCCCATACAGGCAGACCTCGAGTCACCACTGCAGCCCAAGATCGGTACATCCGGGTACTACATTTGCATGATCGTCCTGCAGCGGGTGAGATCACAGCAGGCAGGGTGCCTGGACTTCGGAGGATGTCCGGTAAAACGGTACGGAACAGGTTGAGAGAGATTGGACTGAGAGCCAGAAGTCCCGACGTCGGGAGCGTGCTACGTCGTCGCCATCGCGCTCAACGTCTCCGTTAACTAAAATTATCCACTTGGTTGTATAAACATTACCTTCTCCTAAACTGATGCAAACATTCATATACTAAATTTTATTTGTGGATGAGTTATAACATGCTTAAAATACAACATTTTCGCAACAGATTTCTGGGTTATGCGTTTCTTTTTTGGAATAGTATATTAGAGAAACAGAACTGGGTTTTTTACATCTTAGAATGAATAATGAACACTGGATTTCTGTTCACGAAGTGCTAGTATTGATAGGCACAGGGGTTTGGCCACCATTGTTCTGCTGCACGCAGAATTTCCAGGCGTCATCTTGGGGGATTTATGAATGGTATCACCACATAACAGTATAGGAATATCGATAATCAACAGGTTGTTATTTATTTGGATTTTTATTACATTATATTCCAATTTCAGCGACCTCAGTAACAATTCTATATACCATCTTCCTGATGGCTGCTTCCGAAACCTATGGCGTCTCGCAACACTGTAAGTATGCCCTGAAAGAACATTACATGGGCTCCTGCTCTGAGGTTGATTATTACAACATTCAAGGCGTTAGTCAGGATTCTCAATAGGTGTATGATAAACATGTTGAGGAAATTTCAAATTTGATGCAGCAGTGACGTAAATTTTGTTTTATGGGATTTCCTGTTTTGGCTTTGACGGTAGGTTACCGTGCTTTAAGGTGCCTTTGCGTGTGTTTGTAACTAAACCTGATATCATCACTCATAATGATGCAAAGAAAAGTATAATCAACTCTTTTTTAAATGGAAATGTCTTATGATTATGGAAACTATTCGCTGTCAGTTATATGTACTTTCATACAATTATGAGTTACAGGCATTTTGCAGAGAATTTACATACTGAGTACGAGGTGTTTCGGAAACGAAATGTTCCTTTAGTGCTTTGCTTAGCCCATTTTAAGGACGTACGGCATGCCATGACTAAATATATGCCTCTCTTGATGGCTTTTTGGTATGATCGCCAAACACACTGAAAATGCAGTCGGCTAGTATTGTCTCTTTATAACTGATGTCGTTTGTGTTGATACACAATCAGTCATATGTCCATCTTTTGTCATATTTACCTCAAGTCTCTGTATACATTCGCAGCCAGAGCAAGGGATATTTGATCTCTCTCTTGACACATATGAAATCAATAGATCTCCTTTAATCATAATCAGCTTGTACTTGTTGGTACAGCATGTATATACAACCGCAAGCGAGTATATATTGGTTGACTGGAAATGCTTCCGAGAATATCACATTTATATTCTTTGAGGTAATATGAGATTCCGATGATAGTGATGCATGTTTCGGCAAAGAAGAGTAAATACAGTTGTTTTCCACAGGTTGAAATAACTTTAAGAGTGAGTGAGTTTAGTTTTATGCCGCGTTTAGCAACATGCCAGCAATATCACAACAGGGAAAACCAGAAATGGGCTTCACACATTGTACCCATGTGAGGAATCGAACGCGGGTCTTGAGCGTGACGAGCGAACGCTTTAACCACTAGGCTACCCCACCGCCCACAAAAGCTTTAGGATCTATGAGTGTTTCTGATATGAATCTCCAGTAATGTAAGCCTAGACGAAGAACCTGTCCAGTTTCATGAAACAGTAGGGTGTCATTATCAAGGGAATGAATTAAAGGGATCTTGTTTCTTCAGTGTATCACAGTTTGTATCATAGTTCCGGGAAAGTTTGAGCTAGGTGCATTGATCGCCTCTTTGAACAGTATTCCATGGCCAGTGATATCATGGTTTATCATCCAAAACTGTGTTCCACAGTAGATATCGCTTGTGTGAGATCAGACGATATCTCCTAGGAGATATCGTTTTGACAGTAGATTTTGTACAATGCCCTGACATTGCTATGACGTCATTAACTTGTTGACGTCACAATGTTATGACATCGCTGCAGTGCAAATCTAATGGCATTACTGTGTTCAGAGAAGTACATTTTTCATTGAAAACTAATGAAGAGTGATTTTTTATGATAAATAGAATCTCACCCTCGTGTCTTCTGATATCCAATATATCAACACTCGTTGATAAAAGTAAAAATATCCTCCGCAAGCCTCGGATATTTGTTACTTTATCAACTCGTGGTGATATATTTGATATCAAAAGAGGGCGGTGGGGTAGCCTAATGGTTAAATCGTTGGCTCGTCACGCCGAAGGCCCGGGTTCGAATCCCCACATGGGTACAATGTATGAATCCCATTTCTGGTGTCCCCCGCCGTGATGTTTCTGGAATATTGCTAAAAGCGGCGTAAAACCAAACTCAGTCAGTCAGTGATATCAAAAGACACTCGGGTGAGATTCTCTATGTGTCATATATATGTGTGCGTAAATCCGAAGTGGTGCAGGTTTAGTCGTTTTTAATTTTGGTGAACCCAACAGGATGGCACTAACAATCCTTAAAACATAATCAACGCGAATCGCGAGTCTATCCAACGATGTGCCGGGCCTGCCAAAGGGAAACAATTCTGTACAGCGTGTTCAGTGCTCGCCACCTGTACCTCCACACGCTGTTTCAACCCTAATGAGGATTACATTGTTGAGACATCTGGTACACACCTAATGATCACATTAGCACAAATATCCGTTGATTATTGTTCAGAAAACAACGGAAGTCAAAGTGCACATGGGTCTCCCTATCTCATCCCAATAATCTAGTGGGTTTCTAACACACATGAACTGTTGGGTGGCCTTGAAAATAGCAATACGCACTTCATTCTATGTTGCGTAATCACTATTTCCCGTTTACTTCTAATCTTACACATTGACCTTGAGCTAAAATATCTAGCGGTTCATAAACTAAATATTACTGTGAATCTTTAGACATTGAACCATCTGCAGTTCTGATAGAATGGGTTTCCTTCGTGTTTGATTTGTTCTGGGTTTATGGTGGCCCAGTGGTTTAGATTGCCTTCTATTTCAGGAACCTGGAAGACAACCTTCTAACGGCACTGAGCAATGCAACTTTCTATGGTCTCTCAGGCTTACGGCAGCTGTAAGTATTGGAGTTAAAGACAAAGTAGTGATTGTTGTTTCACATAAAGTCATAATGATTGTTTTGTTTTGTCTGTGAAATGTGCAAATACATAATGTTCAATAGACAATTGGCTAAGTTTGGAATCAAGAACACAAATCATGGCGAATCGGAGATCACGGGATCCTGGAGCCTATGCACAATGGATTATGATTCGACACTCAATAAGTCTGTCCAAGTTGTATGTTTCTTCACGATTTAAAAACTATTTCATTACAGGCATCTTTCTGGTAATCGCATACAGACGATCTATCCCGATGCTTTCTTCGGCCTGTCAGCTTTGAGAACATTGTAAGTGCATATTCTTAAATGTGAGTGTTAGTATTCTAATGAAGGGAACCCAGTTGGAACCAATATCCGGGATTGATCTGGACGTTCCCGAACAGAATCTGACGTAGCTGACGTGTTGACAATACAACAGTCGATAAGAGATTAAATTTACAATTCTAGGCACGATTATACATAGTCAAACATTACTTGTTTAAACAGACGCATGTTATATTTCCATACTACTTTTGTTCCAGAGACCTGAGTCAGCAACAAATAACAGCACTGCCACTGGACGCATTCTTAGGATTACGGAATGCCTCTGCATTGTAGGTGGACTATGTCTCCCATTTGATTCCATTAAGAATACTGGGTTTCTTTGCGATTAAGTCATAATTTTGTTCAGGTTTATAAATAATATACAAGGTAAATACATAAACTGTAGATTCTTATTTGTTGTCAGTGGAAGTACATGTATTTCTTGTTCTGATGCTGATGTGTTTGTCCTTCTAATCGTGTTGATCAGAACTTTGTTAAAAGTAATAACGCACTGTAAATGAAACAGCTATAGCGGAATAGGGGGAATATAATAGACGCGCATGATGTCAACGCCAGTATTTACCTTCAGGAACCTCTCCGGAAACATAATTGACTTCATAGAGGGCGGCGCCTTCAACGGCTTGGATAAACTTCAAGTATTGTAAGTTAAATATGCTTTATTTTTAATACCTATAATTTTCCGTACAAATCCAATAAATGTCTCTGCATTTTAACACTATTCCAGCTGTATGGCGACATCCTGTTTGTGGAAGACTCTCGCCCAATATAACCAGTCATTGATGTATATTAAAACCCGAATCAACGATTCACCAACCCACCAATCACCTCTTACGAAGTGCATAATTTGCCTTCGGCCTGTTTTGCTATGTAATCTCATTATCTCCTTCGGTGATACGTCACTACCACCATGTCCTCAAACCATCAAGTATATAAAGTAATCATGATAATTAAGTCGAGGTATGATTGTATAAGGTTTCATGTATGTATTGACCAATATTTTCCTCGTGGTTTTGGTAGTATTCGTAATGCTAAATGTTGTATCAATAAGTTCAAATGTTTTCGCTCTGCAGAGACATCAGAGGCAACAACATCTCTACCATAGACAAATACGTATTCCGTATACGCAACCTGGATACACTGTAAGCATACACGATATGATCATTTTATGATTGATATGTCTTCTTGAATTAGAGGGGACGGTGGGGTAGCCGGGTGGCTAAAGCGTTCGCTCATCACGCCGAAGACTCGGTTTCGATTCCCCACATGGGTACAATGTGTGAAGACCATTTCTGGTGTTCCTCGCCGTGATATTGCTGCAATATCGCTAAAAGCGGCGTAAAACTAAACCCACTCATAAACTCGCCATAACCATTTGTGACTAAAAACGATCACAATGCGTCAAATAAAAGACATTACAAGATAACACCTGCACACCATAACTGTTTGATTAGGGCTAATGACCACGTGGAAATGAAAGACCAGTAAGGTTTAATGTCGTCTCACGAAATGTCGGATCTGAAAGTATGGTCGTGTAGAAAATAACAAACGTTTTGTGGTCTGGCAATCACAATTACTCATAGATTTGTGTTTGTAGACATTGTATTCGGATAACCATTGAAATAATTTGTGTACTTCTTCATCAGGTACACCGATGAGTATAGGTTTTGTTGTTTGGCGAAGGGAGTCCGCAACTGTTACCCACAGCCTGACGAATTCTCGTCCTGTGAGGACCTAATGTCCAACTATATACTACGAGTCAGTATATGGATCCTTGGGATGGTAGCCTCGTTTGGAAACCTGCTTGTGATTGGATGGAGAGCACGTGATCTACGCGGGGGCAAGGTGAGTCAAAATATGCTTAAAGTACAATACACATTCTAAGGACTGGATGTGCCATAAATTTGCATAAAGTCAACTCCCAAGAGTATCCAGGCTGGACTGACCCGAAGGGGATTCCATCTGAGCATAACAAGCTAAAAGGTCATGAAAATTTTATGAATGAATGAGTGAGTGAGTTTAGTTTTACGCCACACTCAGCAATATGCCAGCTTTATGAATGAATCCGAAACCAACAAAGAAGATAACCTACATAAAGTGTTCTGTGCTACCGGTAACACAGGAATGATTTGATACTAGGATGATTTTCGAGAGTGGTTCTGTAGGACACATTCACTGTACAGTGACATTAAAAAGGGACATTTACATTTTCATCAAAGAAAACATATTTTGTTTGAACAAAGTTTTACCAGTGCCTGATTGTACAAAAATCGGTTTTGTTCAAAGGTACATTCGTTCCTGATCACCAATCTGGCTATCGGCGACTTCTTCATGGGCGTATACCTCATGATCATCGCCGTCGTGGACTCCTACTACCGCGGTGTCTACATCATCCATGACTACTTCTGGCGAGCAAGTAATCTCTGTCGATTTGCTGGCTTCATCTCCACCTTCTCCAGCGAGTTATCAGTATTCACCCTTACAGTTATCACCCTGGACAGACTCATCTGCATCATCTTCCCGCTTAGACTTAAAAGACTTGGACTTAAAGAGGCCACTGTGGTCATGATCCTGGTGTGGGTGGTGGTGTTTACCTTATCCATCTTGCCACTAATGGGATTAGATTACTTTGAACATTTCTATGGCAGGTCCGGAGTCTGCCTCGCCCTCCACGTGACGCGAAAACGTCCTCCTGGCTGGGAGTATTCAGTTGCGGTGTTCCTCGTCCTCAACTTTGTTTCCTTTGTGGCTATATTCCTCTCCTACTTATGGATGTTTATAGTGGCAAAGAGGACACGGAAAGCTGTTCGGACAACAGAGTCAAAGTCCGATGCTGCAATGGCCAGAAGAATGACTTTAATTGTTATGACGGATTTTTTCTGTTGGGTGCCCATCATCTTATTGGGATTTGCTTCTCTTGGAGGCGCACATGTCCCGTCCCAGGTATTAAATTTACAAAAGCTATGTGATATATGACTGACTGACTGAGTTTAGTTTTACGCCGCTTTTAGCAATATTCCAGCAATATCACGGCGGGGGACAACAGAAATGGGCTTAACACATTGTGCCCATGTGGGGAATCGAACCCGGGCCTTCGGCGTGACGAGCCAACGCTTTAACCACTGGGCTACCCCACCGCCCCTTATGTGATATATGAAAATAGACATACATAAAAGTCACTGCATTTCTGTTGCGCATCCGTTGGATCACTTGTAATGATTTCCGGAAAGGATTTTTATCAATTCTTCACATCTACAATTTTAAGAATATATCTCTGAAGTAAATGAATCTAAAATATCACTAAAATAGGCTTGAGTGCTTCCGATTCGTTGGTCGTCGTAACTTTTTCTCATCCCAAAAGCCATGAGACTTTCTGAGCAACGTTGAAAATGCAATTTAGTTGGTTTTTATCTTATTTGTAGGTTTATGCCTGGATCGCCGTGTTTGTGCTGCCACTCAACTCGGCCATCAACCCTGTTCTTTACACTATTTCTACAGCTCCATTTCTCGGCAACGTCAGGAAGAGAGCATATCGCTTTAGGAAGTCCTTCATGAGCTCACTCAGTATGGACACGAAACACAGCTATGTTGGTATGAATCTTTATTATTTCGTGACTTCATGCTTCGTCACTCGGGAAATATTATTATACATTTCAGTCGTGTCCTATCTTAATCACGTCATTTTCAAAGAGAAACAAGTAGTTACGTGCTGATACAAAAACCCTGACGAAAGTAATTCCAAACACGTCAAAGAATTCCAAAGCATATCCTAACTGCACATGTGGAACAGATATATGATCATGATCAGACGCGCATGGAACATTTTAATTGCCCCATCGTTCAATTTACATTCGAACATTGGAAAGGAAAACAGTCTGTTCTAGTGTTTCCTGCCTTCTCTTGCTATTGATTGTTTATTTGGTGAGTGAATGAGTTCATCGATGTTCATCGTCCTTTATGATGCTTCTGTGTGAGTGATGCTATTTCCTGTTCGGTAAAATATATGATATTAGTGTGACAAAGACAGCTCAGGTCTTTGATTTGATTTTCACTTTATGTGTACTCTGATTAACCGTTATTAGTTTTGCAGTTCTATTTACAAATTTCAAAACAGCTATACATTATTGTACAATGATGAGGGTGTAATTAATATATTTGTGAACATTCTTATACGCTGTGAACTAGGGCTGGGAGAATTCACCGATGCACTGATACATCACGATACATGTTAGTTTGATACAGCTATCGTATCGTCGACTTGTGTATCGATACAAAACGATACACAACTTTTTTTTCCAAACAGTATTCTCTTAAACATGTTAAAGTACTTATGTGGAGAACGCAAATATATACGCAAGTAGGATAGAGATACTTGTTCCTTTATTACAATAGTGTTATTGCTATACACAAATACCTTCAAATAAATCATTTTAAATCTTAATACTGTGTCATTCTTTCAAGGTGTATGTATCGTGATACGTATCGTATCGCAGGTAAAATATCGCGATACGTATCGTATCGTGACATAGTGTATCGTCCCAGCCCTTCTTCAGTGAAAATGTTTCTATTTTCTAATCACCATTGCACACATATGGATTTAGTGGGATAGGTGGATTGCACGTAACTGTTAGCAATGTCCAAGAAATGGGGACATCAAAAACAGACTTCACACATTGTACCCATGTAGTGAATTAATCCAAGGTCTTCGGCGTGACGAGGGAACGCTATACAAGTTAGGTTCCGAACATATATTGCGTAAAGTTGCATCTATTGCATTCTCTACTTTCAGATGAACGTTCAACATCAGTTTGGGACCGGAAGTCGCCGTACAGGCATATGGACTTAATACGCATGCGTAATATGAACAATCGATCCGATGTCCAGTCGCAGTCGGATCAGTCAGATTACTAAGAGGCTCTGGAATTCAAGATCCGTGTGTTTAAGCGACGCAGATGCTATTTGTAAAACACGTACAGGCGATGGTATCTTGTAATTCCTAATTTGTTCTGCACCATGTGCAGCAAATGGGTTTTCCAAATGAAAAGAATATCAATAGGATCGTTTGTTGTCGCTGAAACACATGGATATGGGAAACTGGAGCATATTGCCTGAATCATGGTCCATTGTTACGGGGAATGGTCCCAATGAATTCCATCCAAATTTGTAAATCACATTTTGAGGAAAGGCACCACATTATCAAAGTTTTCAATGACATCCGAAAGCATAACCACGGTGTTAACGATGTACTTACTGTGTAAATGTCTGTTTGTTACTGAAGAACGTTAAAAGTCTATAATTGAAATATCGTTCTGAATATGGTATAACGAATATTATACTTTTTATTGAACTGGTCACGAATAACATCTTTGTTACAACCAGCTGAGAAAGCTAAGGAAAATGACGTCACAATGTGTTACATGGCTCATTTTTTTATAGTTCCTAGAATCGTTGCCGATGATCCAGGGCCCCGTTTCACAAAGCCGTCGTAGTGTTACGACAGTCGTACCTCCTGGGCTGCAACATAGACTTACGACCGTCGTAGCGCTACGATATCTTTGTGAATCGAGGCCCTGGGTCATTAGCAACTATTTTAGACTATGTCCATGCTGACAACATGTATCAAGCGACATTCATCAACTCAAACAAGACATTCAAGCAAGACACTCATCAACTCGAGCAAGACACTCATCAACTCAAGCAAGACAGTCATCAACTCGAGGAAGACACTCATCAACTCAAGCAAGACACTCATCAACTCAAGCAAGACACTCATCAACTCAAGCAAGACACTCATCAACTCAAGACACTCATCAACTCGAGCAAGACACTCATCAACACAAGCAAGACACTCATCAACTCAAGCAAGACACTCATCAACTCAAGCAAGACTCTCATCAACTCAAGCAAGACACTCATCAACTCAAGCAAGACACTCATCAACTCGAGCAAGACACTCATCAACTCGAGCAAGACACTCATCAACTCAAGCAAGACACTCATCAACTCGAGTATACATAATGCATGCTATCGTCATCAAGGGAAGGAGCGATCTAATCATCGTCCACAATAGTGATACTTTGACGTTTCCTCTTCGTGGAATATATGAATATATGGGTGTCTACGTGTATATCAGTTTACAAAACAGTGTATTTTTCATATGGCAGGAACCAGAGCAAAGTACGTTATTTCCTCTTATGCAGCTGGTTCCATTATATATTATGATAACTTTGTACTGGCTATTTACATTGTGTTATTGTGGGGATAGTGTATGGCGTGACATTCATGGTATCCATTAGAATAGATGCGGTTAGTGATGTAAAGATTATTTCGTATATATAATGAATAGCCGATGCCACATAACAAATTGCATGAACTTACCACCTTGGCATTATATATGATTACATCAACCTTCTTTAGCATTATGAATATGTTGAATAGATGTCATATGTATTTACTTAAACCGCAAAATGTTATGCAATGTACAAATCGCTTATGCTCATTTATATGATGTGGATTTGTTGTAGGACCATCCGAGTATTGTGTGTAGGGTTTGTTTCGTAGCTCGTACATTCGATCAGAACTGGTAATATCCGTTGTTAGTGTTTGAATGCCATATACAACAGTGTAATATATTACCATTGTATTTATTGCATAACATTATATGTTTATATTCATGCACATGGTGTGTGTATTTATTGATGTAATCGGAACGGAATCATTTTTAAAATATATTGTTTTTGTTACATTACAATACAAATTGTACTTAAGTGTTAAGAAAATATGAACTAACACATGGTGTTTTTATGTCACTACAAATCGTTGTTAAGAATGTTATGACAGATATGGCCAGTTATTTGGTGTATGCTAAAAAACGGCTGTGGTAAATGTGTCAATGTGCCTCATTTACTTTGCTTATTGCCTTTATGTAAGTGAGTGTGAATATCGACACAGTTACTTGGTATTTGATACTTCTGTATGGAGATACGTGTACAATCATCTTCTACGGGACACATATACATGTGAAATGTTTCATGTTTAACATCTTCTTCCGGTTGACTCTGAATGGTCATATTTGTACTTCGACGTTACGTTAAATGTTAATATATTCACGATTATATAATACATACATGCCATAAACAGTCGTATATTCATCACGCAAGTCCTGCTTGACCCCTGTAAATAGTTGTTCTAACAGTACCTGAGATGACAGCATTAGGTTGATGAGACTGTTTTGTTGTTCGTCGGAGATTTGATCGTCAGCGGTGTAATGAACATTAATCATGCATTCACAATGTCTTATAAAAACGTTGGATACTTATCAAAGACAATTACAGACAGTAATGCAAACGTTGTACTGAAGTGTACAGAATCTCAACTTGTTTACAGTAAATGAGCTGTTCTACATTGTAACATGATACATGGCCCAGATTTCTTATGTTTATGCAAAATGTTTAGTTTCTTATATTTATTAAAACAACAAGAGGTGTCATACAAACATAATCATGTCACTGTTTTTTCGGATATTTTTCATTTGCAACTGACTAACATAACCGCCTCAGATGAGCTTTTGACATTCGAGAGTTGGTTTTCACATTCAAAAATGCATTCATATGGAAACATAGTATGGCAGGTAAGTATGATTTATTACCAATTAACTGAGACCCAGTATCACACTTGATATTGATGAGAATGTCTAGACTGATACTGGTTTCATACTAGACCTGACTGTATTAAACATGATAGCTGGCATCATGTGGTAGAATCACTGTCATCTGTAGATCTTCATTTTCATTTCGTGAATTCCTTGAAGTACGAATATTCATCTGCTCTCATGTTGTAGCACCACTATTTAATGATTATCCTCGGTAAGGACTTGAGAGTGAGACAGCAAGGCCCTTATCGTGTGTATGATATAATAGTTGTGTTCAACAAGATTGCAGCAGTATCTGACACCATGCTATTGTTGGAGTATGTTATTGTGAAATAGAGTGTAGGGCTTATTGGTGCAGACAGTAGAGTCTTGTCAAGTGTTGAGTTTTTGTACTATTATGCTCAAAATAAAGCTCTATTTTCTAATATTTTCTGAATTATTCTCATTTGCGAATAAATTGCAAAACGAACATGCATATGTTCTTTCCTTTTATGGATGAAGGATATCCCGGATCCTGTCACAGGCCATAAATGCTCCATTCTCGATATCATTCATTCAATGAAGTTAAATAACTATTTTGTACTCTTTAATAACGTGCGCAGGAATTCAGTAGCGCTTTCTGATTGTAATACAGTGTATGTGGGGACATATGTGTTCGTTTGTTGCTTTAACACCGAATTCAGCAATATTGCAGCTATATACCAGCCATAATCCAGTGATCGACATCATAAGCGTCGATATCTGCTATTGGGATACATTCACATGTTAACTGAGTCAGCGAGCCTGGCCTTTACGATAAGTACGTGTTGCTGAAGATCAATTCTGATCAGGACCTTCACGAGTAGTTGAGGCAATTGAAAGCGCTTGACGATTGACTTCTTTTTGTTGTTTAACGCCGTACTCAGCAATACATCAGCTACATGGTGGTGGTCTGTAAATAGTCGTGTCTGGACCAGACAGGTCAGTGATTGACATCATGAGCGTCGATCTACGCAATCGGGATACGATGACATGTGTCAACCAAGTCAGCGAGCCTGACCACTAGATCCCGTTACTCGCCTCTTACGACAAGCATGGGTTACGGAAGATCTAACCCAGATCTTCGCGGGACCGTGCCGATTGATGTAGAGTGTGTGGGGGCAATTCGACCTGCTTTCTGATTGATGCACCGCGTGTTGATTACTGACTTAAGGCAGTTGATGGTAGGTGACATACGTGAGTACTACACCACTCAATGTTTGTAAAAGACTGCCACAATACTTAACGACCTGTTCGAATTTTTATGACAAGAAATTCTGACTATTTCTAAATTAATGTTTAAATCATGTGGTAAAATTTCTGAATACATGTCATAGCCAAATCGAACAAGGTCTTCCAAGTTACTGTAAAATGCAAGCTTCTTTAAATGACATAGATTTTCCTCCCACCTTTGGATTTAGGCAAGCATTAAGATGTATTGTTTAAGGGTCAAGGTATAATACATTGCACTTAGAATATCCCTCACAATAAAGAAGAACGTTTCAAAGTAGTTAAAGAAGATAATTGTAGCTGCAGCTAAATGGAAGTTATTACTATTTATCAATTTTAGCTAACAAATATAGTTCTATCATATCTAACAACGAAACATGCTCAAACGTCTCACACTGCACCGAACTCAATTCGAAAGGATTACCTCAACAGGATTCAGAAGAATAATCTCGTCTTTTATCTGACTCGCCATCAGTGTGCTCTTTACTCATAACAGTTACCCTACATGTAATACCTTCTTGATGAGGTATTCAATGTAATTGTGGTGCGAATATAGCATATCAGAACATAATGCATCGAAAATAACACGTCTCATTAGACATTGTGGGACAATTACAGTTGATGAAAGGAGTAGTCCATTAATCTCTGGATAGGTTCTTTTGTAGTAGTCATAAAGGGACAAAATGACAGGAAACCAATCAATTCTCGCTTGCTAAACCACTTATCTACGACAGTGTATGTATATAGTTCCATTGCTGACCCATCAAACGTTTGTGCGCGCTTTTAGCATGCCCCTTTGTGGTATGGAGTACTGCGCAGTATAATTACCCTCATTATTATTATGTTTTACAGATGTAGATGAAATATGCAGCAGAGAGGGTTCGGGTGATCCTGGCACAGTCAGGCTGGTAAGGCTCATCATCATCTCAGGGCCCTTGCCTCCTCTACACGCAGCCCTGACAGCGAATGGGACTTCACCCAGAAAACACTGCCTAGTCGAACCCACCAAGAACTTTCCAGAGAATATGTAGACTCCTCAACACTGCATGCAGCCTTCTGCATTACCCAGAGTGTCAGAAGGGCTGTGCTCCCGATGGAGACCCGGGCACTCTCCTGATCTGCGTCAAGATATCAGGAGGTACCAAACCAAGGGCACCGAGAACAGTGGGGAGCCTGACGACAGTGTACTTGGGATGCAAGCGAGAAATTTCAAAGGCGAGGTCCGCATACTTATCATGCTATTCCTGCTTTCTGCCAACCACGTTGCTGTCAAAAGGGACAGAAAATTCAATGATATGAATAAATTCATTAGCTTTATCAAAAAGGACAAGATCAGGTTTGTTGGCAAGAATTCTTCTCAGGCTGTATATAGGTCTATTCCACAGAAGTTTGAAAGCATCATTTCCATGACGCCCTGGACATGTTCAGGGTCGTACCATGGATGGACCTCGGGTTCAGG